ACTCAATTTTACTCCAGAACACATGGCAAGATGTCCGGCTAGGAGTGCGAAGGATGTCCGGGCAAATATATTGTCATGGCCATCCAAGCTCGAAAGGAAACAAAACTAAAAGTAGCTGGCGCAAAATTACCGATTAAAATCAAAGGTAAGCAAACAAGTGTTTGGATAGAAAGCGGATCGCTGATCTCAATATTTACCATCGGAGAATTAAGGCGAACACTGCGCACCGCAAGTGTGAATCTCAACGAGCTGCAACCAGAGGATAATGAAATCAGGGATAACGGGATCAATCAACTACACTTGTTGGGGACACTGACAGTGCTACTGGAGACGAATGGAAGGGTAGTCGAAGCCAAGATCAAGGTAATAGGAGGCAGCAGACCGTCGATTGTTGGAAGGGACTTGATGACTTGTCGTGGATTGCAACTTATTCAGAAGACACCGGTTAGAATGTGATATCAATCAAAGAGAACATCAGGAGGCTGAGCTGTCTAGCGGGGAGGCACCACTAGACCAATGGCAGCTCTATTTCAGCAAGCAATTCAACAATTTTCGTCGAGTTCGTAAAATTGGGAACTCTGAAGCACAAGCAAAATTTTTCGAAAAATAACACCGGCTCAACAGAAAAGGCGGAGGGTTCCAATGACACTGCATGAGAAAGTTGATAAATAAATTAGTAAGCTTTTGCAACAAGGACACATCGAAAAGCTTGAAGAATTTTCGGATAAGTATTTTGTTTCTCCAGTTGTAACCACGGTGAAGAAAGATGGGTCAGTAAAACTAGCAATAGAGTCGAGGGAGTTAAACAAGCCAGTCCACAAAAACAAATTTCAAATGCCGAACATCGAAGAACTCAGGGACACGGTAGGACAGACTATAAGTGAACGAAAAACGGTGGACGTATATTTTTCAACAATGGATCTGACATACGCACACGGTTAGCTGCCATTTAATCCGGAAACGAGCATTCAATGAATTTTTTCATTTTTGGGGGAAAATCAACAGGAATGTATCACTTCAAAAGAGGGTGAAAAGAAGTGTGCGACGAAAGAATTGGAAATGCTTGCGTTCGTGTGGGGGTCCGATGTTTTCCAAAATTTTGTGCTGGGAAGAAAAATATTGATCCTTACTGACCATGAAGCGTTAGTCTCACTGCTAAATGGGAATAATAAAAAGAAAAAGACCACGCTAAGCAGATTAAAATTGTGGTTAGATTGTTTTATACCATTTGGTTTTCTAGTGGAACATAAAACTGGAGCTAAAATTGGTCTCTCCGCCTGTTTAACCAGACATCCAACTTCGTACGGACAGCACATGGGATAGGTCAGCACATGTGATAGTATGTTTACGGTAGCGAAAATTAACTCATTCCATGGCGCCCTCGGTTTTCAAAAATTATTTATCTCCAAACGCAACATTGAGTCGCCACAGGCCAATGAACAACGCGTAAGCAATATATCGAATAGGAAACAGTCGCTAGAGGACGGAAAACATGCAAAGAAAATCGGACCAATCACGGTGTGACATAATACATATCTGGCAGGTCATCTGAGTTATATGCAAATTCAGTTGGGGCAGCTTTTGAGTTAAGTTTCGGTTTTACAAAATCTCAGATAAATTCCAAAAGTTCAAACTTAAACATGGAAAGGAAACTTAGAAAATTACTAGAACGACATCCAAGCATTAGCAGCGGCGACGAAATAGAAGAAGTTGATCAAAATATACAAGCAGTTACCACAAAAATCCGGAAAAAGTAAAGCATTTATTTCAATTCCATCGGTTTGTCCAGGTGAAATTTATCCGACGTTTAATCCTAGAAATTACATAATGTCAATATTTCCTCGAAACTGTAAAGTTGTAAATAAACAAAATATCCACCCTTCCTGATTTATTCAATCTTCGATTCGTTGATTCACAGTATCTATCGGACCCTCAATTACAAGCCAATTTTAAAATGATTAAACGCAAGGACCCAGAATTACAACACACTAAATTTTCAGCGATGAGTAAATATTACGCTCAATACACTCAGGATTCTCATGTTAAAGAGACGGATGCCTGTGGATGGACGATAAACTCGTAATCCCGAAACCTTTGCAAGCGGCGGTAAAAATTGACCGCACTATTACCACCACGGGAAGTATAATATGTTCAAAGCAGCTAACTATATCTGATTCCTGAACATAAACCGCAGCTAAACGTCAATCGCAGAAAATTACCGAAAAGAGTTTGAAACACGGGGATGTAGGGAAAATATCTGAACCCAAAGAACCGAATGAGTCGGTAGAACTAGATTTTTGGGGACCATTCAGCGACATAATTGAATCTAAAAAGTATGTTTTGGTGGCGTCGGACCGTTTTTGTCGATGGCCGTCGGCCATGGCGTGTAACGCAAATAGATCGGATAAATTTCTGAAAAATTAAACAAACATACATCAATGCGCATCGTGTTCCGCGACAAATTCGGATGGATCAAGGAACGAATTTCGTGTCCAAGGACGTAAGAAGTCTCTGTCATTATGAAGGAATTGAAGTATTCGTCTAGCCAGTTAATGGCCATAGAGCAAGATGGTGCGTCGAACGAATTTGGTACTCACGTATGCGCGAGAAGAAAAAACAGAACTCTTGGATTGGATGCTTGAGAGGGCCCTCGGTGCCTTACGATTTTTTCGAAACACCACGCTAAAACTAACACCGTGGGAAGCTAATACGGTTCTCAGGAGTTTGGCTGAAAAACCGTCGTTAGGAACCTAAAACTGGGAAAAAGTGATCCGCTCAAAATCTGCTTGTTTAGATGAACAAGAGCCAGACGCCCGATTGATGCCGCATACGGCGGAGAAAAACTGAGGAGTTCGATCTGATACCGCGTATAATGCGAGGAATAGACAACACCCATTGCGGCTATCGGACGAACAGACAGTTGACCAGGGGTGGAGTCAGAAATCGGCCGAAGCGCAGATTTATCGGCGGTATCAGCGCCACCGACAATTGTGATGCAGCGAACGGGGGACAGAAACCTCAATAAGTACAAACCATAAACATCCAAAATCGTAAATGAAACTGAGCATACTATTAAAATGAGTAATGGAGCTGTTTTCAGAAAATCTGGAATGGCGTTGAAAAAGGTTACAACCCCTAAGAAGCGAGCACCTGGAGCAATTCGAGCCCTGCCAGCACCACAGGAGGTGAGACGCAAGATAATGTCAAATAAGCCATCTAGTTCCAAAGGCACACAATCCGGCTCCAAAGGCACACAAGCGAAACGGGGTCGAAACACTGAGGGCGACGACTTTTCGCTGACGAAAACGATGAATTGTCACTCGCGCATGTTTGGTCGATCAGCGACAGCAAAAGAAGCTATTCCACCTGAGGATGTATAATCAAGCATCAAACCGCAGGGAGCGATAAAAGTAAGGCCTACGGCCTAATTGCGGGAGAAAGCCACTTCGAGCGAAAAAGTTTCTATGGAAACGATGATCCGACCGAGCGACCTCAAAACGGCGACGGAATACACGTTGTGTGAGAAACAGAAATCGCGGAGAAACGGCGAGACGGCGATAAAACGAAAGCAACAACGCTCGATGACATTGAACCTGGGGCAGTGGCGGAACTCGGTATTCCACAGGCAAGGACCAAGAAACGAACGCTGAAGCAACGGCTTGTCTCATATTTCAGCCAAGAGTCGGCAAATTTGCCAGACGAAACCACTTCGGGAAGGAAGGGTACAGCTGTTAACAAATTGGGGGCTGTCATGATCGATCATATTCAAAAAGCAGAGGGCGAAGGACAATAGGACGAGGAGAGAAATGCAAAAAGGGAGAAGTAAAACTCAAAAAAACTGCTAATGTAATCCACGGAGAGGGCAGGCCGTAGAGCGGTCAAAAACTCAAAATTTCAGTTACCTTTAGTTGATTTCGAAAATCCAAAACTCTAGTTGAAACTTTCGTCCTTAATTTACATTTCATTAAGTATTTAAATTTCTAGTTTTTCATTCCTTCGCAAAAAGGGGAATGTCATTGTGATTAATTAATTCAAAGAAAATTTCAGTTCTATTCTATTTGTTGCATTCTACTGAATTTATCTGTCTGGTGCAAACTGGTATTTAACTTTCGGAGTTGTCTGTCACCTTTGGTTGACCTCAATTTCATTGTCTCCGACTAATTTTCTGTATCACAGTTCACAAATTCCTTTCTTAATTTAATCTATCGAGACCTTTTAATTGACCTTTCTTAGCATGTTTTTGAGCTCAAAATCAGATTTGTATTGAACATTTCTTTGATTAGAACATTTTCTTGTTTTGAACATTTTCTTTTTATAAGTTCTGCTCAAAAGGAAATGGTTTCGAAATGGATGTTTAGGTTATCAAAACTAATCTGCTCATGGTTCTTTTAAAATGGACTTGAAAGGATTTTACTAAAATTCGAACGATTTTTTGTGAGTCAAAAAAGTTTATTCAATTCCATGTAAATCAAATTTTCAGACACTTAAATTGATCCAAAATTTTTAGGAAAGATCGATTTTTGTGGATTTAAGATCCATTTCAGTTAATAAAATGTATATTCAGTCAAATCTATTTAAATCAATCCGACGCCCCCCCCCCCCCCAAAAAAAAAATTCCTTTTCTCGCGGCGAGAAAATGAACTGACCTGAAAACTTGTTATTGTTGGCTTTGAACTTCGTTGCGCTTAGTGGATCTAAATTAAAAACCTTTACGTCATTAAAGTACCGAATTAATTTTGAAGTTCAAAGAGCTGTGAAGTCATATTTTTGTTTCAAGTTCGAAGTTTTTCAAGAAACAAGTCCGTTTTCTCTGTTTCTTTGCGTTCATTGATTTTTTGAACTATGTTTTTTTTCTATCAAATTTTACCATTAGGATAATTTTTCTGGGAGTCATGTGATAAAAATTGTTGTGGCACAAAGCTCAAGCCAAACGACCAATTAAAGGACGATCAATTTTTTACGACACAATAAGATAATATAGAACTAGGGAAGTAACTTACATAAAGTATGGAGAGCCCGCAAACCAGTCTAATTCAGCACCCACATCTGGTCTTCTGGATCTGAAAGCCAAAAATCATAGTTGGATTTTTGATGAACACTGCAACTGTTATAGGTTTAAGGCACTGAAAATGGAGTGCTCTAGAAATAATTGGCAAGCATTTTCTTAATGAGCCCTTTTTGAGCTCCTGCTGAAAACTTTGAGAAATCATATTTCCAATTAAAAATATTCTGTATCGAAGTAATCTTTTTGATGAAAAAAAAATCGATTTTGGAAAGAGTAGACGAAAAAATATATATTGCTTCTCAAAAAAAGTTTATATAGCGCCAAATACTTCTTTAGAAAAGTTTAGGTTTTTAGTTGAGTCTTAGATTATTAAGTGAAAAGATATCAAAAGGCTGAATCGTTTTGGCAACCAGAATCGAGGAGGGGCGGGGGAATCAGTTTTTAGGTTTTCTACTAAATAAGGGCAAATATTAAACATTTCTATTCCCTAACGACTTGATTTTTCTCATTGCAGGGAGTAGAAAATCCCTCTCTATGTACGTAAGGGTCGATCGTTGTGGAGATAGAACTTCATCGGTCAATTATAACCTTGTCAATTATAACCCGCTGTAAAAACCCGTGGAACTTCAAGCAATCAGATTGGACGATGGATTTTTGTGCTTTAAGGTGAGCAAATGTCAGAATTGTACCTTTTTACAGCAACCTCCTTTCTTACCCTGGCATGAAGGGTTTTTTCTTGATGAGCGCATAGATGATGAAAAGAAGAAGCGCCAATGCGGCCACTCCGAGCACAAGAATTATCAGGAGAAGAATCGTATTGCTGCTGTTGCTTCCACTTCCGTCTGCTTCCTCTTCTTCTGTTTTTTCTTCTTCATCCGACGGTCCCAGGGGCACATTTTCTAAGAAAAAGTTTAATCTAAGAAAAAAGGGAGATTTTAGGATTGAACACACTCAATTGTTTTTAATTTTGTGATTCACACTATGTGAATCGCGAGTCCAAGATCTGCGCCTGACTGAAGTTATCCATTGCACAGCATATGCCAATCCAGCAATTCCAATATAATTACTCCGATTATGCAGAAGTAAAGTTAAAAACAAAAACACAATTACCTCCTACCATCCTTCTTGAAATTACCAAGCTATGCAGCGATTCAGGAAATATAAAATATATCTTTCAATGAATACGTTACAGATTATGCACAATTTGACTGAATGAAAAAACCTTTTCACATTTTGAATTAAAGTAATTTTTTCTTTCGATTGGGCTTTCATCTTAGTTAAAGTTAAAGGATCAAGTTAACGTCCTCTCCCCCCCCCTCCCCCTAACAGACCAAGTTAAGATCATCGACCCCAGCGTTTAAACTAAATTAATTTATCTTGTGAGTTGTCGAAAGATCGAAACAAATTCTGATTCAGGCCGCCATTGCAATGGATATGCATGGAATGATTGAAAGATTCTTAATGCAAAGTAGTATAAGTCTTGCGAATGTGATGGGATGATGATAAAGATGACAAAGAAAAGAATTAGGTAGAATAAAACTAAAACAGCTTTTGAATTCAGGATGTTCTGCTCCAAAGAAACCGAAAAACAATCGGAAAACAAGATGATTGAAGCAAAAACATAAAACGATATGTTGCCCGACAGCCGAAATCGTAACTTTTCATGCCATGACAAACGCGCCTACCACGCATCTAATTTTTGTGATGAACTTATCTTGAAAACCACGTTTAAGAGGTCTGTTGTTCTTTGGCGTTCATCAAATGTTATCTAATAACTTGGTTATTTTTGCTATGTTTTTTTCTGTTACCACTTCGAGTTGACGTTAACGGTCGAGGTGTCGAAGAAGTTGTTTGTCGAGATACAAAACTAGTCGTGGCTCGGTCAAAACTAGACAATATCTCAGAAAAAGTTTGACCCCGTGATGGCAATGTGGTTGTAGAAATCGCATCCGCGCGACTATTTTGAGTCGTTATTTGAGTTTGAGTAGTTCCCACTGGACCTAAACGGTGACACTTCCAGATTTTCATGTTATCTTGTTCAATGAAAGTCAATTTGTGTAATCATAAATTGTTTTGCACGCTTCCGTTTTTGACCAGCATATACCAGGGGCAGATCTAGGATTTTCTCGAGGGGGGGGGGCGGATTTTCAAAAGAAAATTTTGATGACCTTTTTTATTTTTTAGGTCGACCAAATTGACTTTCCGAGCTCTCCTCCAACATTAAAAAGACTATGTTTTGGTCAAATTTTCTGTACCGCAAGCAAAATTTTGAAAAACAGCTCAAAAAAGCCGTTTTTGGGCAATTTAAAAAAAATTTTGACAAAAAAAAATAGCGTTTTTTTGGCGCGCGCTCCCCTTCAAAAATAGTATATATTGGCGCCAAAGGCTCCTTTAGAAAAATTTTAGGGTCGGTCGGCCAAAAATAGATTTCTTAAAAAGTACCAAAGGGGGACCCTTTGGGTCTGCAGGGGGTCGAATCCCTGAAGGGAGAGAGAAAGAAGGCCGCGCCCCCCCGCCCTCCCTCCTAAATCCGCCCCTGGTATATACTATGTGTTATCACAACAAGACTGCTCGTTCAAACTGAAGTCATGCATTTTTCGATTATCAGTTAACGTCTATGACTTATTTTCCATTGAAAAATGGATGACAATTTTTCAAAAAGAAAAATTTGTGAACGAGTTGATTTTTCAGGTTTGAAATTTTTCAGAACCAAATTTTTTGTCAAATTTTTTCTCGTATGTTGACATGACAAGTACATAGTGATATATATATGGCATCTATTAACTTATTACATTAGACTAAATAGCTTGCCTCATTTAAAGTGGGAATAATTTCAGAGCCAGGCAAGCTCGCTGCTTACGGGGTAAAAGAACAGAACAAAATTGCTCACATAAGGGCAAAGTTTTGATTCTTATGACTATTTTGATTTGTCGCGGATTTTGTTCTTAAAAAAAGATGAAGCTATTACCTTAAAAAATTTGAATATTTTCTTTGGTTTCAAAAATACTGTGGCAAAATCTGAATATTCTTCCCCTAACTCGAGTAGAGCCCGCATCCAGTTTCAAGCGTTAATAATTGGTTATATTACGATATTAGTACCAGTCTTAATAAAATTGAGAAACTATCGATTTTAATCAATTTTTAATCTTTTAATCGATTATAATCTCTCTTTTTAAAATCAAACTATAATTAATTATAACCCATTAAAATCGATTATAATCGATTATTTATTCGTCTATTTTTCGATACAATTATGATCGATTATAATATTTTTATTCAAGTTTCTAGTTTTTTAGTTTTGCACAAAAATCCATTATAATGGATTATAATTGATTATAATCCTTTTTTGTTTGTCCATTTTGTCTTCGAAGTTGCATCTAAATTGCTGATATTTTATGCTTTTTGTAGACGTTGGTTTCTATGAAAATAAAGAATTTTTTAATAGTTTTCCAATTAATTGATATTTATAATTTTTTTTTTCATTTCTTCCCCATTAGAGTTGTTTTGTGATGCATATTTAAGCTTTTTTAAACATCAAAACATCAGCAAATTAATTTAGTTTCATGTTTGATTCGGAAGATTTATTTTTCATTTACCTTGTGAACCTTTCCACTCATATGAAAGGATCTCTATGAAACTTTTGCTTCGTGGTAAAACTTTGTGTTCAGATGAACCAAAGGGTACAAGAGATCTCTCTTTTAGAGATTTTCTTATTGACACAAAAATAATAACACATAAAGTATAATTCGAATGTAGTTTTGAATTCACAAAATTTCGGCAAGATAAGAGGTTATAATCGATTAGAATCGATAATAATTGAATTTAAGGGTTTTTTGTAAGAACTATAATCAATTATAATCGATTATAAGAGATTATAATCTCTTGGAAAATATCACGACTATAACCAATTATAAATCCTTCAATCACATAATTTTGGTAATTATAATCAATTTTAATTGTCAAAAAATCATCAAAATAATATGTTATAATCGATTACTTACGCCTAAACTTGGATGCGGGAGGTTTTTACGGTTGATTAACAATCATCTCTGAAGTGTGTTAGTCAAATTGGAGGGAAATATCCGGGAGACACAATTTAAAACCCGCGTTGGTCGTACGTACATACAATATACGTGACTTACATTCAACTTCATAAATGGAGTATGCTAAAAGCTTATTTCACGATTACCATAAAAAGTTGTATGATAAGCATTTTTTCAGTCGAATACAAATTTGTGAGAGTTTTTGTTAAATAAAAACGGTTATCAATATGTAGTTTTGCATTCATGTAAACCAAAAAGTAAAAAATAAAAAAAAATTTCCTCTCATTTTGGTTAAAAACTTGCATCTGAGCTCTAATAATTATTTTGCGGAAAAATTGTGGATTCAAAAGTTATTGTTTTGTGTCTATAATGTAGTTTTGTATAATGTAGAGTCTTCATCCCTATAGATGAATGCAGTGAATTAGCAGTAGAAGTTTCTAATGCTTCCTTTCTAATTTTGCTGCCTTCTGGTTGGTCGAAAAATTGACCGAAAAAATTGACCAAAAAAATTGCCTTCTGATTGGTCGAAAAAAGATGGGGAGATTGTTAAGTAGATCTAGTCCTTTGTTACTGTTTTTTCAGACAGAGCACAAATTTCGAAACCGGAAGGAAAATTTTTTCTAAAATATTTTCAATTCAGGAAAAAAAAGCTCCCGGGTTGGCCTAAACTACTTATCATACAATTTCCATATATGATAAACTTCTTGTCATACAATTCCATACGTACAGAAAATTGCATGAATTCTTTATGATAACCATTTCTCCATTTATGAAAATTGTATGATAGGTGCTTTTCCATAAACCAAAAATTGGTTTTTGTTTCTAAATTTAATTTCTGAAAAATGTTGGTTTGTGTTTGTAACCGAACACAAGTGACAAATACCTTGGTTTACTCAAAGCACAAACGGTTGGATGGTCTTGCATTTACAATGCATAGCAAATGACCTGAATCATATAGAGAGAGTAACAAACTTTTGAAATTTGGCAAACATTTTCATATGTGATTATTTTAAAAGTTTGAATCTTTAAATTATCAGACATTGATCAAGGCACACATTAACATGCCATACAAAAAAATAGGAATTTTTAGTGTTTCTGAAAAACATTTTACAGCGAAAAGGAAAAAAAACAACATTATTGTATCCAGGACTACGTTATGTACACGAAAATTTAAATTTTGCATGCGAAAAATTTTTTTTGGAAAATGTTTGTTTGCGTACAAAATTCGATTTGCAGTTGAAAAAAAAACAAAAAAAGTTTTTTGGGTTCAAAATTACGCAAATTGTATAACATAATTTATAACAAAAATGGAAACCTCGGTTTTTATCACCAGACTGTTTTATTAGAATCAAACAGCCGCACTTATTAGAATCAAACAGCATATATTTTTTTCAACCCTTTTCAGAAATTGTATGAAAATTGTATGACAAGCATTTTTCCGCACACTTGATGCATGGAAGTGTATGATAAGCATTTTTAGTGTAAGGAGGTCAACCCGGGCTCGTAATACTACTTCATAAAATGGCAAAAGCGCTTACCATACAATCAACAACGTATTTTTTGATATTTTCAAAATTTCTCAATTATTTTTGCACTTAATGTTGACAAGCTATTCTTACTTTTTGATCGCATTCGAATATTCATGAGGGAATCCACGCAAATTTTTTTGGACTGAATTTTTTTGAGGCTTATTAGTCGTACTGATAGACATGTTAAAGTCGCTAGTTTTAAATTCGAAACTCCTGTCACAAGCGCTAGAAACTTGACATCATATTTTGTTTCGGTCGTTTTTTCGATTTCGTATTTACCCTAAATGTACAAGTTACAAACTCTTTGGCGTTCAGGAAACAATCCAGTTTACTTAAATAATTGTGATTTCTGCTATTAGCAGAGGATCTATGAAAGGCTATCCAGCCTGTCTAAGCATAGTCCGTATTCGAAACCGGAAGGAACATTTTTTCTAAAATATTTTCATCTCAGGAAAGAAACTCCAAACAATAGCTAGCCCCATACCTTTGTCGGAAATTATTTGAATACTTCAATACAAAAACAATTTGAAATCTCAAAAATAACTGAAGAAAAATTATTTGCTGATGGATTAGTATGGAACCATAATTATAAATTACCATTAGTATTTGTTGCTGATGGTACTGGCTGCAGTGTAGAAGTGATAAGTTGAGCTACAAGAATAAAACTTGGGTTTCAGAGTGACCAGAGGCTTGAGGTATCAAATGTTAGCTTACAAAACAAAAAACTGATAGTAATCGTAAAGTGTGTTAGCATGCAGGGCAGGGGCGGATCTAAGATTTTCTCGAGCGGGGGGAGGAATGGGAATTTTTGGAAACATAGCGTTTTTTTTGGTATATGCTCCCACCCAAATTTAGTATATACTGTCTGCCAAAAATGGATATCACAAAATAGTAGAAAGGGACCATTTGGGTCGGTATGGGATCGAATCCCTGTGGGGCGGAACCCCCCCCCCCCCTAATTTCGCCCCTGATGAAGATTTATCTGATAACCGGGCTCAAATCAGGGATGTATTTTGAAACGTTGTCGGCCTTTACTCGAAATTTTGTGGCAAATTACTAAGAAAAATGAGAAAAAATGAAAAAAAAAATAATCAGCCAATCCAGTTTTGAACAAATTATGAAATAATTTTTTAAAATCGTATTTGAAGTTCAAGGGCTGGTTTAAGGGGAGCGATTACTGCTGTTTCAACTCTGAAGGATCCGACCCCTTGACAACCAATATATCTCTTTTTCGTACAATTTTACATTAATTTTCAGTACATTAAAGCGGCCTTTTCGGCTGAGATCTGTATGGGAAGGATCATTACAGTGTTTTGGCCAAGTTCATAAAATCAATTTAGTTGGCCGAAAAATATTCAACATTGATGTGACATTTCTCCCCTGAAAGACTATAATTTGACTATGCTTTCTTTGACTATGTTTTGAAAGACTATGTTTTGACTATGCTTTGAAAGACTATGTTTTGACAAGACAATGTTTTGACTATGTGCTGAAAGACTATGTTTTGAAAAGTTTCTGTTTTGACCAAGGATTTCGGGTAAACTATCAGTTTGTGCCCATTTTATAAGCAAAAATTAAAGTGAAAATACTACATTTATCTAGCGAAGGTGCTTAATGCATAATTTTTAGGTGCTAACACCACATATTCTTAAAAAATGACTGCTCGTTTCAAGCCCTGATTATTCCGACAGTATCTTCAGGTGTCTCAAATAAGCTTTTTTGATTTTTCGACCACTACCACATACAAAAGTTTCGTAAATTGCCAATTGTAGACAGTCTTTGGAACCAATCATCTTGCTTCACCTCAACAGGGAGTAAATTTGATAGCGCAAATTTTTGTTGCGCTAAATCATTTCAGTGCGTTGAGCCTCATATGTTAAATCTCAGAGGCGCATAGACTAGCCTATTGGCCGGTCAGGTCAAGAAAGCAATTTTCAAACTCCCATTTTCTCCCACAAAGATTGTGGGTGAAAATTTTTTATACATTTCAGTTAAAGGAGTCAACATATCGGAACTCAATATTTTTGGAATTTAGTAAGTTTTCAGATGCAAATTACTGCATCGATCGTAGAAGTTAGTCAAAAGAAAAAAAAGAAAAGAAAAAAGAAGTTGAGCAAAAAAAGTTCAGCTTTTCATAGAAAACTGAAATAAAAAACTCCTCTGTCGTTTATTTCAGTAAATTTCGAATACATTACCACTGGTGGTTGTGATGGGTTGCACAGTAGATGTGATAATAGAAGCTGAAAAAGAAGACAATTTCAACAGTTTAAAATTAGGAAAAGGTTTATCCTTACGAAAAAGTTTCGAAGGCAAAATTATGTAATGGTGCTTACGTTTCAATTTGCTCCTTAGTTTAGTTCTTTTTAGTTCAATAAATGTTCCCACTACCATTTTTGTAAAGCATTTTTTTCAATATCATCAATTTATTGAGTTCTCTTGCAGCTCAAAAAAAGACAGAAAAACTTCAAGATTACACATCTCTTTGCCCTATATAACATTTGTTTCAAAGCTCCAGCACAGCTCCAGTACCCAACAAAGGCTTCAAAACTGGATAGTAGTTTTAAATTGATAATATAATCTAATGAGTTTGATTTTCTGGATGTCATTAGGCGACCTTCGGTACCTCGCATGTTTTACGTGCATTTTTGTTGTTCATGCATATGCACTTATGTATTCACTATGTCCTATGTCCTTTCTCAGGGTCATATCTAATCGATCACAGCGTGGTGCTGGTATGCCTTGCGTTTATCCAGTTGCGCGATATCCTTATAAAGATACAGTCCTATTCTAAACAGAGTGCCTTTTCCCTACCTCTATTTATTCTAAACCTATAGTCTATACAAAACGGCGTTTGCAAACGTCTATTAATTCGGTACAGTATATCTAGCTATTCTACTATTAATCTATCTATCTTTGATACTTATTAATTTACCATTAGCATTTAACCCTACAGTTTTGAGTCAAAACTGGTCGAGCTATTTCATGGCGCAGAATTAAGACAGGACTGACCTATTAGGCATTCCGCATTTCTGGGCGAAAGACTAAGTTAATCCCCAATTTTTGTGGGAGACCTGGATTGGACCGTTCTTCTTGGCCGTGGGCCTCATGGACAACATTATCCCAAACTATGTGTTGGCAGACCCGGCGGTGATTGTCGACGAACCACTCCCAAAACCGGAGACAACAGCAGCTACCGAAGACGCAGTGGCCCGAGATGCACGTGTTCTCCGCAAACAGGCGGCGGTTCGGAGAACTGACGAATGGAACGCCGAACGTCGTCGATCGAAAAGGAAAAATTATTGACCATTATTTTGTCAAACCTCTGTTTGAAATCGCGAAATTCAAAATCATCAAGATTAGAAATGAGAAAAAAAAAGTACAGACAAAAGAAAAGTATACCGAAAAAAAAAACTTATTTGTCCAAAATCTAATCCCAACTTTCGCGACATTTCAGCCAATCAGGGTACGCTGGACGATATAATAGCAACATCGCAACGCCAAATTGCCCAAAACCACACTTGTCTTCGCTACCGACATACCACCCTTTGGTTCAGTCCAGTCCAGTCCAGACCATACGGTTGTCGATCTCACAGCCGATTCTTCTTCTGGTGCTCAACCGCAACAACGCACCGGCTCATAAGTCTTCGACCCCGATCTCAGTTCCTGCGCACCCCCACTCAGATGCTACTTGGGACGCCGCGGGGAAAGAGACCTTGACGATCATTGACTTGACCAAAACGCGCCGACATCAGGCCTCCACGTTCCTACCTCATTTCAGCCGAAAACTCACCCCAGCGTCGGTACTGGGAAAAAAACAGCCGCGCTGGTGACTCTCGATCCCAATCAGGCTCCGAATAGTTCATAAAAAACAAGAGCGCTGGATCGCAGCAAAGAGCCCACAACGTTTTTTGGCGACCCGCTTCGTCACTCGGTCAAAGCAGTAGAGGAAGAGAAGTGGGAACAATCTACTTCGGCAGTCATACCGGTGGTCAATCTCACTTCTCCTCACAGGCGATTCGAGCTTCTTTGTCAGTGATGCGGCCATAACTACGCAGGAGCAGGTGAGTTCATTCAAGAAGAACAAAATGCATGAGCCAAAAGAAAACAAAATTCGTACCGACATCTGACTAGACTTAAACTTCAGTCTGCTAAACTCTGTTACTAAAACTCTTTTGCCATCCTTGTGTATTAATTTTGTTCACAGTTTACCCTCAATACAGGCTGACCCTGTAGTTTGCTTTGTTAATCTCTGTGCCAAATTCAATCCCTATTTTCAGGATGAAGTTTTTTTGTCCCGCGGGAATGTCAAGAAGCGACCTTCGGAAGCTCGCATATTTAGGTTCATTGATGTTGTTCATATACCTGTACTCATATATTCACTTTGTCATATGTCATTTCTCATGGCCGTACCTTACCCGACACAGGGTGTTGCTTTTATGCCTTGCGTTCAACAAGTTGAGCGATATCCTTAATAAGACACATTCCAATTCAAAACTGAGTGCCTATTCTATACCTCTATCTATTCTACAACTTTAGTCTATACAAAGCGGCACTTGCATACGTCTATTCATTTTGTACTGTGTATCTATCTATTCGACTCATAATATATCTATCTATGATACTTAAAAATTCACTTTTAGCCTTTAACCCTACAGTTTTGAGTCAGTACTGGCCGGTTTATTTCACTGGGCAAAAAGTTTATGTTTCTCAGTCGTCATACGAAACACAGCTGCTCTTATATCATGGCGAGTCCCTAGATGTTCTGACTGCTTTGTAGATTTAATTTAAAAGTTTCTTAATTGAAAAACTGACGAAATGATTGACAAAAAAAAAGAAGTTTGTTTTTCATTTTTTCAACTTATCCCAATCCGCAAAAATAAACTAGAAAGGGATGCATTTAGCTTCCTGTATTTTAACACAATGACCGAATGATTTGCCCGATTTCAATTTGGAATGTTTACGCGTGTTATAAAAACGTAAAAAACTGCCAGTTAATTATCCAAAGTTGGCCAAATTAGCAATTTTCAAACCCCCACAAATTTACAAAAAAAGATCACAAAAGAAACTTTTTTGAGCTCAGGAGAACAGTATTTTAAAGATGGTATAAAAAAAAGTTCTGTCAAAAGTGCGTAGTTAAGAAGTCAAAAATTCTCTTTATAAAAAACACACCAAATATTAACTTTGCGCAGTTTCTTTAAAAGTCGGAACAACAAACAGTTTCTAGATAAACCTGAATTCAGTTCACCGCTCAAGCAATTGATTTTGAATCTATACGCTTTCAATATTCAATATAAACGATAGTGCAGTATACACAATAATTCACACAATATTATGAAAGCAAGACTGCTTGAATAGCAGGGCGATGCCCTGAAAGTTCCGACTGCACTTTAAGGTAAATTGAAAAGTTTTTTTTAGTTGATTGAAAAATTGATCAAGTTTTTCACCAACAAATTTATTGGAATGCATTATTTCGCCGCTTACACGTGTAATAAGAACGCATTATATCGCCCTTCAATTATCTCAAATAGTAAATTAGCAAAATTCAAAACTACGTAGCTTAAACAAAAAATGATTACACGTGAAACACCTTTTGAATTTGAGTTCAAGACAACAATATCTCCAATAATGTATGCATAAAAAACCATTAAAAAACTCAGTTAAGAAGTAGAAAATTTATTGATTACGAAAACCATCCCAGGCATAATTTTTCCGCACTTTCTTTGAAAGTCGGAACAATTAACACATTGTAATATTATAACACATATTTATTTTCAGTACATCGCTATCAGTACTGTATAAAATCAGCTCTGGTGGGTTAGATAGTAGCATGTCTAGTTAGTATGAAATTGGTGGCTCAAATCTCACAAAAATGTGTTAAATGTGATATTTAATTGCAACAAAAATATCCATTCTTCAATCTAATATGCCGATCTTTAATACACCTAATGCTGCATAAAAGATCGGCATATTGAAGAATGAATACTTTTTATTGCAAATAAAAATAAAAAAAAAACTCCATCAAAAGGTTTGTATGAAAGAAAACTGAGGCCGACAGACACTAAAGTTAGAAATTAAAAATGGAAAAGAATGAGATCATTTTCAAAGCAAGAGAGAAAACAAAGAAAATCAAGCAAAAATCAGATTTGATGTGATTTACCAGAGGTTGTTATCGCAGGTGGAGGATTTGTTGGTTCTGCAGCTACACAAAAAACAAATGTAATTATAACAAAAACTGCTGGTAATCAGGATGCTGTGATTGTTCCCAAATTTAGCAAGTTTAGTCAGTTTGCAATAGAAAACAGAATCGAGCCCTCGAGAAATGGCCAGCACTAACTGCTAATTTTTGTACTTTCTCATCAAAATAGTTCGCGAAACGCAAAATCGATCAAGTTTTTTGCTTAACAAGCGGAATCCTGAGTAATTTGATTGCCTTTAAACCTGTCTGAAACAAAATTTTTAAAAGTTGACTCCCCGCACAAATGTCAACCGACTATATGCACCGATTGGCTTGCCTCAATTCAGTTAGGAATTATGTCTGGTTCGGTTTAATTTGGGGTCCGTTCTCTTGGCACAGACTGATTGGTTTCGCGAAAATTTCAAACAATCAGAAACCATTAATTTTTACATCTAAAAATTTGCGCAAAAAAAAAAACGTAATTCAATGTAGGATCGGTGATTCGAATATACTTTCGGCAAACTAAGATCTCAACGTAGAATGTTTTAAATGAAGTGATCGCATGCAGTATAGTAAAGCTACAGAGCAGAGCGTAGCTTGGTTTTCACAAAAACATATATTAAGTATCAAAGCAAATAAATAAAATTCAAGCTCAAAATAGCTCGAGCTTGATAGAATTAGTATTCCACACCTGAAAAAACGTATAGAGTGGGGGGAGGGCGAACAAGGCTTACTCCCCCCAAATCGGAAATAGCAAAGCAAACTCTATGAAGCTCATAAGATGAGTACTACAGATGATTTGACCTTGGTTAGCAAAAATCCGGGCCTGCTGACCCCTGGCAAAAGTGATAACGATTCCGGGCAATGCAAATAGTCCGATCAGAACTCTATTGGTGGGAATGGAGCCAAACTTAATTGTTTTAGATCTACTTGACCAAAATTTAAATTAAGAAACTCATACCCTACTTCTGTTTTATGCCCTAAGTGAATAGTCTCCATCCCGACTTCCAAGGTTTTGGATGTGATAGATAGTGTGAGGTGCAATATGTATAATTTCTGCCGAGTTGGACCAAAGTTATAAGCACTTGGGAAAAACAAACCTTAGACAAGAAAGAAGTAATTAACGCAAAATAATGAGCAAGGGTATAATAATTTTATGGCAAAAATAGACGCGAAACAAATCCCTCCTACGCGAATAAAATTTCTGTGCGAATCAAATCCATCCCATGACTCCTTCCGGTGTCAGTAGCCATTGCGCGGTAAAAATTATAATGAACCCTGCTAAAAAAATAACTTGGGAAGTAGTTATGGGTTATAGATCAAACTTGGTAAGTAGAAAATGGATGGGACTCTTACCAGATCAAAAAGATTGACCAAGGGTGACCCCGAGTGACCTTTTGAATAAATTGTTGGTGTTTAGGCCCAACAAGGCGTCAAAAACCCCAAGGTTAACACCGAAAAACTGGATTTTCTCCAGCACCGACTTCTGGAAACGGGTTTCTTTCACCTTACTTGTAATTGAGAGAGATATTTTGGGGAAGGAAGCAGAAGTTTAAAAAAATTAGCTCCGAAGTTGCTATGTTGCAGTAGTGGAATGAATAAGAACGAAACGAGGCAAATTTTGGGTTGAACTTACCTATGATAATTCTGCCAAACTAACTACACCAGAGAAAACTAGTCTGAGAAGAAATTGGCATTAAAATGACTGCAGCACTGTATTTAACTCTTCTAAACACAATGAATAGACGATATACTTACAAAATCTCCAAAGGTGGGTTTTTGGCTCAATTAGTACCCTAATTGACGGACTACGTTCCCCTGATAGGTAGAAGATCGGGATTGGAATAAAGTATGACTGGAATTTTTAAATGCTCAATAGGAAATAGCTATCCATTAAAAATAATTTCCTCTACCCCCTGGAGGTCAGAATAAATCGGGGTCATTGATTCACTAAACACAAAAACTAGTTGGTTGACTAAAGATAACTTGGATTAAAAGTAGAACTGGACTTCATATATACTAAATCACTTGAAGATACCTATCTTGAACGCAGCATTTAGAATCATTAAAGTCAGAAGAATCAAATAGTTAGAACTTTGTGTAGGGTGTAGCAAAATAAAGGGTTGAACACTTAGGTAGATCAAGTAAGTTTGATCAAGAGTACAGTAAGGTCTTAGTTGAAAGAAAATAAAGTCTGAGAGGGCTGGAGTAAAATGCCCCGCTAAATGATTCTGTGTCTCAGTCAGTGAATTAGCAAGTTAACTTATTTGGGCTGACTTGACTAAATTCGGGGTAGTTGCAACTGGAACAGTTCCGGAGGGAACATTTGACTGTTTCTTAGTTATTTCGTTATCAGATGGAACTAGTTGGGTGAGCAAACTAGAATTATTGGAGTTGGCAGAATTGGAATTGACTCAAGCAAGGATCGACAAGCAATTGTATCGAGGTAGCGAATAATGGAAGGAAATGCGGTATTTTTTTCTAAAAGCGGTATAATCATTATTTGGATGGTCATGGGCCTTGTACATCCCAGATGTCTATCCGGTTTGATGAGTAATTTATATTTTCACACCCACTAATCACTGGAAAAAAAAATAGAGAGAGAGAGAGAAAGAGAGAGAGAGAGAGATAGAGAGAGAGAGCGAAGCCAAAAAGAGCAAATAACAAAAAAAGCTGCAACGTTTCTTGATATCAGCTTTTTATGTCTGTCCAACTCCATACGCCCTTTCGGATTGCGGCTAAAACTCTTTTTAGCGTCCCCTTAAAGTTCTTTATAAAAAGGGTGAATATCTGCGGTGACTGTTGGTTGTGATGAGAAACCCTGGAAATCTAGATTCAGGTAGCAAATGAACCAAATGTCAAATAAACTCGAATAAAAAATCAATTGCCAAAGTTAAATTTTTCGAAGTTACAAATTTCAGGAGGCAAAGGTAATGAAGTCCCTGAACTGATCAAGAGGACCAAGAGATTTATTTCCCGTTTAATCAGTTTGTTTGGTCTCTGTGTCTTTTTTTTGTTTTTTTTTCCAGTTAGGGGGTTTGAGTTTCAGTTTAGCTCGGCAGCTGATATTAGCAACTTACAAATTTTTTTTCTCAAATCGGAGATATGAAAATCAAGGGGGTTTGAATTTCAGTTTAGCTCGAAAGCTGATATTAGCAATTTTTAAATTGTTTTGTTCTCAAATCGGAGATATGAAACCCAAGGCAAAATTTCCAAAAAACTGAAAATTTTGACATTTATGGTACTTTTGGGTAAACTGTATGGCGTATAAACAATTAGGAATAGCTTGAGTCAATTTATTTTTGTTTGTAATTGAAACCGAAAATTTTTTGGAAATTTAAAACCGCTTCACTAGTTAAAAATTGCTGCATTTTAAATGTCATCGCAAAAAAAGTTTCGATTTCAGGAATACTTCTAGATTTTTTTGAGGCAAAAATGAAACGCCAACGTCAAGGAACTCCAAAACAAAGTTCACGTCATTCTCAGAGGTTGACTTCTTGTAGTGTTAACATCCGAAATTTCTCTGGCTTTTTGGCCGACTTTTTTTTTCTTTCGCTAACTAAAGTGGTTTTCTTTAGGATAAAAAAAGCAATTTGAAATTTAGCGACGGTTCTCTCGTACAAAATTTTTCTTCGTGCCGTTAAACCATTCTGTTGCAAAACATTTCACAAGATAAGTCCCGAAAATAGATTTCAAAAAATCATAATTTTTTAGATTGATATTTTCTATTATGTTTTTTGGTCTTACAATCAGATTCGAAACTCAAAAACAGTTCCGCTATTTTGTTTTCCTTAACAACTAAAACATCAAAAAAAAATTGTCAAAATGGGGTCTGTATATTGTTCTGGAAGTGCTCAAAAAGTCAGTTTAGCCACCACGAAAAAAAAGGTCGGCAAAGTTTACTAGCAGTTTTTGAAAATTCTCTCAAAAAATTCTAGATCCACCCCCTGGATATCACCATACTATGTTCTATGTTTGACCCATGTCCTAATCGGATTCGAATCACAATTCATCCCTGCTTGTCCCATCGCCGGACGTTACTCTGACCGTTTTAACCATTCGACCGTCTCAGCGTGACATCGTCCGACCCTTTTATCCTCGACATAAGGCGAGAACCGATCTGAGTTTTCCATCGAACTAATAAAAACGGCTTACACCGCCCTTATGTTTCTAACAATTCTTGTTGTGATAGATATCACATACAGATTTCATTACAGCGCAAGCGGCAGTGAAGATTGCTAGCAAACATACGGTTTTCGGTTCAAACTTCGCATGAGCGGATTTGCAGGGTCAGTTTGTTAAGCTTAAATAATTAACTTTCGGAAAACGTCTCTGGTTGCTTAGCTATAAAAACACTCACCAGTTGTGAAAACAGTGGTAACGTCAACTTGGGCTGACACTTCGTTGTTTTCAGCCTCGCAGACAGCATAGTAGGCTACGGTGTAGCTGCATGCCTCGACAAGACCTCCAAAGGTCATTGTCGAGTCAGTTGAGTCATACTGATGGGGTGAGTTATCGGCCGCGCAAGCTCCTGAAGGGGTAGTCGATTAGTTATCAATATCTCCACAAAATTGCTGTGTTTCAAAACGCAGCTGCGATAGAAAATAACAGAGCGAAAATAATCGAGCTTTCTTGTTCTTTGAGATCGGTTTTTGATTTTTGATTTTAAAAATTTTTGTGAAACGACCAACTGGCCGAATTATAAAACAAACTTTGAGGCTTTTTTATTGCATACTTTCGTTCTAAAGATAATAAAAGTATCTAATATATATTTCCTTTCCTTCTTAGTTAAAATAAAACACCATTTGTCACTGTTGTTTATGTCTCAATTGTTACAAGGAAATCAAAAAATGCAATCGCTTTGAAAATTGAAAAATTTCTTCAACTTCAGTTTATAATGATATTAAGTAGAAAAAGCGTCAAATATTGATTGCTTTGGAAATGTGGACATATTGCAAACTAGATCCCTTGAAGAGTAATCTTTAGTGAGGTGAAGCTTCCAGAGGTCACTCCAAATCCACTGATAGTGAGTGAGGTCGCAGTAGAGTCACTCAAGGTCAAAGAGTCGAGAACACCAGCTAGTTCTGCAGATTGCATAAATTTCATCAACCGGACATTTTTGTGTGAAACAAGATATTTTTTTTGTTTTGCGTAAGCGTTTTCGAAAAAGTATAAAAATTTTCAACAAACTGAAAAAAGAATCAAATAGTTAAGCTTTTCTCAGGGGCGGATTTAGGGAGGGAAGTGGTGGGGGGTGGTGGGGGGTGGTGGGGGGTGGACGCTTTTCCCTTTGCAGGGATTCGACCACCTGCCGACCCAAAGGGTCCCCCCTTTGTACTTTGGCGCCATTATATACTAATTATGAAAGAGGAGCGCGCGCCAAAAAAAAACGCGATGTTTTGGTCATAATTTTCAAAAAAAAAGTGCCTAAAACGCTTTTTTGGCCTGTTTTTCAAAATTTTGCCTGCTGCGCACAAAATTCGGTAAAAATAGGATCTTTTTTATGATTTAGGAGAGCTCAAAAAATCTAATTTGATCGACCTAAAAAAAAGTCGACACAGTTTTCGAAATTTTCTCAAAAAGGAACTAAGGATCTACTTGACAATCTCTCCCCTTTCAAGTTTTTCGACAGAATGCAGCAAAGTTAGAATTCTCAACAGAAAGCTCTAGTGCTAATTTACTGTATTTATTTACAGGGGTGGATAATATTTAGTAGATACCATAGGGGGGACTTTGTTGAGTAGATCCAGAACTCGCACAAAAAGTAGAAGGTGCTTTGACAGCTGCAAACAAGCGACAGGTACAGGATCATAAAAAAACGAAAAGTATGTAAAAAGAAAAGTTAAATATCATCGTAGACTAATCAATAAAACCAGGGATCGGATCTAGAATTTTCTCGAGGGGAGGGGGGATTTTCAAAAAAAATCAAAATTTTTTTGTAGGGTCGACCAAATTTTTGAAAAAACAGCCAAAAAAGCGTTTTTGGCCCTTTTTAGAAAACTGACAAAAAATCGCGTTTTTAGAAAGTTTTTAGGGTCCGTCATCAAATTTGATATTTCAAAATAGTACAAAAGCTGCCCCCCCCCCCCCCCCCCCTAAGTCCGCCCTTGAATAAAACCTTAGCTGTAATTGTACAGCAATACTACTCACACTTCGCATCAGTGGCATTGCACAAGAATTTTTCAAAAAAAAATCCGTTTTTGAGCACATTATGGAAAGTTTTTACCCAAAAGTTGCGTTTTATCGCTCGCTTCCATCTGAAACGTTGTGTATGTTACCGCAGAGGCCATTTTTAGAAAAATTTTAGGGTTAATCAACCAAAATGTATATGACAAATTATAGCCAAAGTGATATCCTTTGGAAAGTTTGGCGACAAGATTTTCTAGCAACTCCTCTCGGCACGCTACTGCTTTGCATTTACAATTTTTGACCTACTTGTGCAGACTCTGATCGTCGTTTGTTCCGAGGACTCTAAGGTGTCACAGTCTGCAATAGTGTCCACAACAGTGGCCACTTTGATCTCATAGACAGTCCCTGACTCCAATCCAGGTACCTATAGAGGAAGATTTTTTTATACTTTAGTTTTTTTTTGTGTTACACGCCAAAGGAGTACGCAAAACTAGGCATTGTTGTGATTTAAACGACATTAAATACATTCCAAAAAGTTTTCTCAAAGCCGAGAAAAAACGGTTTGAATTTATGAAAATCTGTCTGTTTTTGAGCTATTATTAAGCTTTTCGTTTCAATAGTTCTTCCTATTTCTTCATTTAAAATTTGAAAGCAATAAAAAATTTCTGAAACAGTTTTTTACTGTTCCGACGGAATATTTGTGCTCGGGGTGGGTTTTTTTCGTCAGTTAAATTTCGACTTTTAACTAACCGTTTTTGACGGAACTTTTATAGCATTCGATAATCTTTGTTGTCCTGAGCTTAAATTTGAAAACATATTTTACCTGTGATCATTTTTCGTAAAGTTATTGTTCCGACTTTCGATACGAAAGTAACAAAATATTTGTGCTCGGGGTGGGTTTTTTTTTCTTCAGACAAATTTCGACTTTTTAACTAGCCATTTTTGACGAAATTTTTTTGTATCATTCAAAAGCCATTGTTGTCCTGAGCTTGAATTTGAAAAGATATTTCACCTGTGATTATTTTTCGTAAAGTTATGAGGGTTAAAAGATTGCCATTTTGACCAATTGGGGACAATTAACGCGCGATAAAATTCGCGCTATTAACGCGTAAGCGGAGATTTAAACCATCTTAGAAATCGTTCCAAATTGGTTGAACGAAGCTTATTTGCCATAATTGATTTGTTACAAGGAACGAAATCTATCTTTTTGTACTTTATATGGCGTGTGGGTGGATGATTTTCATAAAAAATTTCAAATTTTAGAAAAAAAAAAATTTATTTTATTTTATTTCATTTAATTTTTTATGTTATAACTGCTGCTCCATAAACCTTAAAAGGCAGTCGGAACATTCAGGGCTTCACCCTGATACGAGCAGTCTTGTTGGGGTTTAAAGATTGTCATTTTGGCCAAGTTGGGACAATTAACGCGCGATTTATTTCGTGCTATTAACGCGTAAGCGGAGATTAAACCTGTCTGCTTTTTCGCCATAATTGATTTGTTACTACGATCGAAATCTATCACTTTGTATTTTATTTGGCGTGTGGGGTGATGATTATTTCATAAAAAATCTCAAATGTTTTACTTTATTACAAGTAATTTTTTCTTGTTATTACTGCTTCATAGCCTTTAAAAGGCAGTCGGAACATTCAGGGCTTCAACCTGATACGAGCAGTCTTGTTTATAGTTGGTTATTGTTCGAAAATATCAGAATATTTGTGCTCGTGGTGGTTGTTTTTTTCTTCAGACAATTTTTGACTTTTTATCTAGCCATTTTTGACGAATTTGTTTGATATATCATTCACAAAGTATTTTTGTCATGAACTTAAACTTCAAAAAATATTTAATCTGTGATTTTTTTTGTAAAGTTAGGGTGGTTTGAAATTTTTCATTTTGGCCAATTTGGGACAATTAAAGCGCGATATAGTTCGCGCTATGAACGCGTAAGCGGAGATTAAATCCGTCTTAGAAATCGTTCCAAATTGAATAAAAGAAGCTTGTTTGCCATAATTGATTTGTTAGTAGGAACAAAATATATCACTTTATACTTTATATGGCGTGTGGGGGGATGATTTTCACAAAAAATCTCAATTTTTTTTCGAAAAAAAAAGTTTTAATTTTGTTTTATTACATTTAATTTCTCATGTTACTACTGCTCCTTATACTTTAAAAAGCAGTCGGAACATTCAGGGCTTAGCCCTGATATGAGTAGTCTTGTTCATTATTCGTAAACAACTGCAGTCGATTATGTAAAATTCACTAAATAACTATGCGTTCGCATAATTTTTTTGTCACACAACACACAAAAATGACACTTATTTGAAAAATCTTTCTCTCCAGTTTTTATGAATGCTAACTGGCTATCCTATCCTTGTTCTGATTTGCCGCTTCCAGAAAAGTTGAGCTGCTCTATTTCGCTGTGAATGAATGGACAGAACTGTGTAACTGTAAACATTTACGACCAGTTAAGGTGAACTGTTACTGATTCTTAACATTGTTCTTTTCATTTACTCTCAAAATAACTAGCTCTGTAATAAAGAACAAAAAACGTCCAAGAAAAAGTCATTAGAATATTGAAGGATCATGTCAATTAGCTTGAAAATTGTCAGCAAAATATTGAAAATCATGGAGATAAAAAAAACCGCTACTTTTTGTTCTTCATAAGCAATCAATTTCATCTTAGTTTTACCTCCAGATCCGCATTCTTTGCAGCCAGGTCAGCGGTCGTGGGAGAGATACTGTTGACCGAGTTTATCCTGTATGAGTCGAGGGGTCCGATATTGGCCTGGACATTCGAAACTGTTCCCTTGATTATCACGCTCGTCAAGTCACATTCGACTTGAATTGAAGACTTCTCGGGAGCTGTGGGAACTGCAAAATATGAACCGAGCTTTTTTCAAGCAATTTTACAGAATAAATAAATAGGTGTTTAAATTTTTTTGAAAGATTTCAGCATATTTCAGTTGTTACTCGTTTTGTATCTGATTGGTCACGATTAGCAAGAAAAATTAATATATCAATTTTATTATCGATTCTAATTATGACATATACTCTCATTCGATAAACTTATCAAATCATTCAGATTTTTTTCATAATCTGATAAACTATATAAATTTTTTGGTATATTTAGGAATTCGATGTATTTATGATTTGTTTTTTTTTAACGACGATATCTCTATCAATATTTTTGATCTCCTGAATGCTGAACATTGACCAATAGAAAACTAGCACCGGAACATTGACCAATAGAAAACTAGCTATAATTTTGCACCCATACTAAAATTATAGTAACCTCGACTCAGGGAATTTATTCCAATTAGTAAAGGTGTCAATTGAAATTCAAAATGTTTTAACTCTAGTCACATATTGGATTTCAGCTCCGCAGTGCGAAGCGGAGAATGCTTTGATTTATGAATACCCCTCAAAACTAATTTATGACATGTACTTTCATTCGATATACTGCAGATTTTTTTCATAATCCGAACAATATCGAAACCCAAACAATATCATAGTCCAAAAAAGGATCGCTCCATAGTTCAGGCGGGGATGATAATTCACGAAGGTGGGGATGATAATTTACGAGGGGTGACAATTACGTGGGGATAACTCCCAATTCTCGAAAACATATGCACGCTAATTTTACTGACTTTTGCTAAATTTTACACAAAACCTATTTAATAAATTTGTCTTACGTGTGCAAGCTGCATATTGGGTGCTCAGTTTTGACACTTCATCACACAAGTTCTCATTTTCAAGTTCAAATTCGTATTTGGTTGCAGGCGACAAAAGTGACACAGTCAGAGTTCCCGTGTCAGGCTGAGGAGCATCCACGTCATATGACCCATTAGGGGTCACTGTTTTGACCTTGAACCGGTACAGGTTGCCCTCTACAGCTTGAACACGGAGAGATGCCGCTTGAATTGAGATGGAGTTGGCTGTTGCAGTATGAAAAAGAGAAGATGTCTCAATTTCTCGAGGAACTGAAAACAAGGTTGCAACTAATTTTCAAAACATATTTCAAGCTCATAAAATGATCATTAGCAGCTCAAACCAGTACAGGATGTAGGATTGAGAGATTCGATCAAAGAGCGGATCATAAACTTAGTCGATCTAATGAAAAAAAGCGTCCCCTTGAGAAAATTTTAGATCTGAGCCTGATTCAATTTTTGCTACAAACCCGGTCGAGTTCCCGCTTCAAAACCGCTCATGATTTAACGGTTTGAGCGGTTTTCCAGCTAAATTTGAGCGTCTTTTTCCCAAAAATATGCCTGCGGTGCAGAAATTTCTGATAAAATAAGTATTTAAAACTGTTTGGAGAGAATTCGGATCATTAAATCAGTCGATCTAGAGAAAAAAAGGTGTCACTTTGTGAAAATCTCAGATCTGAGCCTGACTCAATTTTGCTACAAACCCGGTCGAGATCCCGCTCAAAAGCCGCTCATGATTTGAACGGTTTGAGCGATTTTTCAGCAAAATTTTTGTGCGGTTTATACGGTTCTTTAAAAAAAATCTCTCAAACCGCTCAAACCTTGCTTTAAAAAACCGCTCAAAATCCGCTGATATCCTGCGTCGGTTTTTAAAAGGTTTTTCAAGCAAAATTTGAACAGTTTTTGAGCGGTTTAATTTGAAAAAACGATCAAAAGCATCAAATTGCCCGGAAAAGGCGATGTGACTCTAAGAAGCAGTTTATGTTTTTCCTCCAACTTGACCCTGTACCTCTAGGGTATGCTTATAATTGATATTCGGATCATGTGTAGGACTTCTCGTGGCGGTTCTGAACAAGATGAGCAAATATGCTGGTCTAGCTAATTGCACATTAAAAATACATCTATACTGGATTTTCTTGCTACTTGCAACAGATATACAGTCTTCTAACAAAAATCAAATAAATATTAAATCAAAACAATTTTTGCTTCAAAGCAAACACTTGCTGCTTGCTGTTTGTCCTTTAATGTTTCTGTTTGATAATTGCTCTGACTTTAAGAGTCTCTCAGTGACTGTTTCCGCGACCAAACAACTATTATTTCGACAGGGGTGTTGAAAAATTAGACGATGAGCAAATTAGACAGAGGTACTTAAAAGGAATATAGACGATTTTGCAAAATTGCAATTGTGAGAAAATGGACGAAGGTGAGACGAAGGTTTAAATTGTTTGCAGACAAATTGCGCAAGAGAATTATTATTGTTTGTGGACAACAATTAAATTTCGGTAGCCAAAATTTTACAAGTCAATCATGCATAATTTATTCAGTTCAAAACTCTCCTGTAATTTTCGGGTTTGACATTTTTTGTTCATCTAAACTAATTGTCATTTTATGTCTTTTTTGTATTTGTGAAACTTGACTCTTAAGAAAAAACTTTGTTGGCCCTTTCCTGTTCACAGCTTTTTTGTCTAAAATGCCGGATCTGTAAGAAATAAATTCCGTCTAATTTCGTTTGTGTAGAATCCGTCTAATTTGCTTGTCGTCTAATTTCCTAGGCCCCCTCGACAGGTTGTTTTTAGTAGCGGAGCCGATAAAACTAGTAATTCATATCGAGATTTAGTCGCGATCACCTCACAATTAGTCATGGTATAACTCGAAACTTAATCGCGGCATGCCTGTCATCTGCCTTACCCAAGTCGAGGTTGTTCGCCTGAAATGAAGCAAGATTTTAGCGGTTTGAGCGGTTTGCGCTGAAAAAAAGCTGTTTTTTGAGCCGTTTATATAGAAAAACCACTCAAAATTCTCATTTTGAAGCAAGATTTTGTGGGCAATCGTCTGAAAATTACACAAATCTTGCTTTAATTTAGGTGAAAGTCTCGACTCAGGTAGCTACACTTTTCACATTGCTCGCTTATTTTTACTCATTCTACCACAAAGTTTGAAACAGAAAAAGTTTGTGACAATACGCTGGACCTTGATTGTTAGCCTTGATTATCGCGACAGCATTTCGGTTTCTGTACGTCCATACAATTATAGAATTAGTGTTTATTTAGCACAACGTTTGCTTTACTTATAAATTTTACCATTGTTTTGTCATAGAGTTCTAATTTAGACATCAATTTTTTGAGCCTGACAAGCCTTAGGATATATCTGCACCCTTGTGATCAGCTGTCTTTGATGAAACCAAACTCATTCATAATGATTGTTCTATAAAAAGCTTTTAGCATGAGCTGAAACGTCTACGCGGAGGCCAACAAAAAGTACGAGAAAATGCCATGTTTTTGAGATAAACATCCATGCATAGATCTGAGATACGCTTGAATCTTTAATCCTTATATATTTTTGGAAACTTCTACCAGAGCTTGAAAGAAAATTAAGACTAACTTGTGCACAGCGTATCTCCTAGCGTTGCCTGTCTGGTGGCAGATTCTGCCGAACCTTGATCTGCGTGACACACGGCCGAGTACTTCAAAGTGTAGAGACACCCTGGGATCAAATCCTCCGCCTTCAGGTCTGTCTCTCCCGTGGACAAGTTGCGAAGAATGGGACCACCTGGACATCCAGATCCAGTGCTGAATTCGACTTCGATCGCCTCGTACTCACCCGAAGAGACTCCAAACCCACTGATCTCAATCATGGTCTCGGTGAAGTTGACAAGGGTCAGTGAGCTAGCTGGCACAGGAGTCTCAGGGGCTAAAAAAGCGAATCTGCAAAAGCAATTGGGGGGGGGGGGGGAGGGTTTGGAGGATGTTAACTTGATCCGTGATTTTTCACTATTTACTATAACTGACTTTGTTTTGTTTACCAAGTCTCCAAAAAAGTAAAATAGATCCAGATATAATGAGCATTTTGTATTCTCACACCAGGGCCATTATTACTACAGTAACCACAATTGTGCCTAACTTCCTGTTTTTGTATTTTCTTATAAATTCATAAAAGTTTATCCAACACTATTCTTCCCACCACGCTCTGAAAAAAAGAAGAACTTAAGCCTTATTGTAAAATTTTACGGCGAAATTTAGTACTTCACCTAATAACGCGGGAGGTAACAACTTGAAACAATTTTGTAGTCATTTAGGTTTTAAGAAAAACTCAAAAAAAAAGTTTTGATAACTTCTTTGCTTACAGCATATCAATGGCTTATTGATTAGGTTTGAAAGCAAGTTTTTCAATAAGAGATGATACCACGTGCAAAAAACGACGTGCAAAAAAGCTGTTGCAAGTCGCAATGAATGGAAACCAAGATATCTGCAAACCTTGGGATGACGTCAAACAACAAACAACATCAAGTTCCAGAAAAAACCTCGGTAGAATCGTTTCTTTTTGTACTGAGCCGCTCAGAGTTTAATCAGTGATTTCCTCAGAGACAAAAGCGCGGGTTTCTGAATCCAAACGAAGATACATTTGTTGGTTCCGCAATCCATTTTTTTAAAGCCTTTAATCCCATAAAAGCAAAAAAGCAAAGAACATGAATTTAAAAAAGTTTTAGTAGAAAAATGGGCAGTTATCTCAACAGCAAAATCGTTATGCCTTGATAGAATAACATACCTCTGTAAGTACTGAGCCGAGGAAGATTGTTCAGATTAATTTTTGAGGTCAAAGACCCAAGGACCCAGGTAGTTTTTTCCGCGCTTTTAATGACCCTACAGATACTTTTAGGTCAACTTTTCTCTCCGTTCAATTGTGAAAATTGATTCAAAGTTAAGAGAGCCAATCAAATTTTGCAAAAAGTCTGCTTCTTAGCCTGAAATAATTCCAAAGAGGTCAACCGTTAGTATCCTTCTTAAGAATCGGATACTTTTTACTAATTCATGATTTAACGGTTTATTTGGAGTGCTAGAAGATTTAAATAATTGCGAACCGCCCGTTCTTTATATCAAAAACTTGAAGTGGAGGGCTAGAACGAATGTGTACTATAAACTTGCCATTATGTTTCTGAAATTAAAATCATTTTGGTTACAATTGAAACTCCAACAAAAACTTTTGGCGTTTTTTTATGGAATAGCATTATTCTTTTTGGATATTGTTTGGTTTACTTTCCATAATCATCGTAAAAAAACTTTCGTTCGTTCAACCAGGAAAAATCGTCCGCTTGAACTCTATCAATGACCCCGCACCGAGCACCCTTGGATTGTAATCGATTAGTTTCTATAAAATTACAAAATAATCGATTAGATTCCATTAAAAATGAATTATAATCCTAATATTTTCTATGTCAGTATAATCCATTATAATCGATTATAACCCATTAAAAATGGATTAGAACCATTATGTTTTTTGATAAAACATATTTCGATTATAATGGATTTTTTCGAGAGGTTAGTCATGAAATTTACAACTTTTTTCAAATTTATCTTTTTTCCTGATACGTACAGTTGCTACTTATTGCGTTTCATATAATGTTACATTTCACATTACAATTCACATTACTCCCTCCCTGTCCCCCCCCCCCCCCCCCCCCAGTTTACTTTACCCCCCCCCCCCCCACCTGCCATTTTACCACAACCGTCATTCCTCCCATCGGGGGAGGGGGGTTATTTATTGGTAGACTTTGGGAGAGGGGGTTAATGATGGTCACCCCTCAGTTTACCGTCCCCCCTTTAGTAGGGGGAGGTAAAAAAAACTTGAGGGAGCGGCGTTGAGACATGGCATTTATTAAAAAACATAGCATGCATTTTGCAAATTTCCTGCAAAATTTGCAAAATTAAAATGGATTGTAGTGGATTACAATGGGTTATTATTTATTTTTATTGCAAACAAAATCAATTATAAGGGATTATTTTGGCAAAAATAATCGATTTCAGTGCCAAAAAATGGACTTTAATCGATTATAATGGATTAAAACGGATTTCGATTATAACGGCAATATAATCGATTTCGTAGTCTGAATTTTACATTTTTAATGGATTAAAATGGATTATTTTTGTCTCGGGAATCCATTAGAATCGATTAGAATCCATGGGCGCTCGGTGCGGGACTCCAGATCATGCCACCAGCGAACGCAAAAAAAACAGAATTTTTGTTCAAGGAAAAATTACCAAATGGATCACAGCAAAAATTACTGACGAAACAACATGACAAGGTTATAAGTGTCACCAAAAATGGGCTTTTATAATTTTATTGGAGCAATTGTTACCAAAAGGAACCAAATTCACCATAAACTTTTTCCACTTAGGCCACAAGTCAGCTCGTACGCTTTTTATAAGTGCTTGTGTATTTACTAATTGCTTTTCAAAAGAAAACAAATCAGTGGAACTCTGGCAGCGTGCTTTGAAGATTGGAATGGGTTGCATGCATCCCAAACATCCGTAAATTCATTTGTTTTCTCATGTGAGCAAAACTTGGCGGAGAAACCTTTGTACAAATGGGATCAGGAGAAAAGGAATCAAAGACAAAAAAATACCGGAAAATGCAGTTAAGGTTAACTGCAAAAACTAATGAAACGATCGGCGAAACGAATTTAAAATATTCTGCAGAGAGTAGTTTTCAACTTCGTTCTCTGATTTTTTTTAGTTCCCCTGTCATGTTGACTAAGATTTTATCATTAGTTTCAAACTATATCAAAAGATACATTGTTAACCACTCTCACACCATATTTATCATTCAAGGTAATGGCAAAAAAAATTATAAGAAGTTTCTAACCTCTTTTCGAGGTGACCCAAAAACTATAAAATGGAATTTGAAATTCCAAAAACTGTTAATTAGTTGGTTTTTTGTTACGGAAAAAACTTTTTGAGAAAAAACTGTTTCGCGATCTGAATCACGCGTGGAAGGATTTTCATTTGATGGTAAAGTTGATCTCTGCAAGATAACATTGATAAAAAAACACACAACATCATATTTAATTGCCTTTCCACGAGAGTGGTTGGAGCAATTCTTGTTTTTTCTACCATTTCGTTGAAAATTTTTAAGCTAAAAAGCACCTAGTGGGTATTTATCACTAATGATTAATATTGCTGAAGGCTTTATGGTCAAAAGTTAAAACTCTGAATCTAAATAGGCTCTTTCTAGCATTCAAACAGGGGCAGATCTAGAATTTTCCGGATTTTCAAAAAAAAATTTCATGGAACCGGATTTTCAAAAAAAAAATCTTTTTTTTTTGGGTCGACCAAAAAGATTTTCTGAGCTCTCCAAAATCACTATTAAGACCTCATTTTAACCATTCTGCCTTTTTTGGCCTGATATTTTTAAAAATTACAGGCCAAAAAAAAGCATTTTTAGCACTTATTGGAAAACTTTGACCAAAAAATCGCGTTTTTTTTCGGTGCGCGCTCCCCTTCAAAATTAGTATTATTTTGGCGCCATAGGCGCCTTTAGAAAAAATTTAGGGTCAGCCAGCTAAAAATGGATATCTCAAATTACTACAAAGGGGGACGTCTCAAAATACTACAAAGGGGGACGTCCCCCTTTGTCTCAAGATATCCAATTTGTGGGTCGAATCCCTGAGGGGAGGAGGGCGTCCCCGTCGCCCCCCTAAATCTGCTGGTGCATTAAATTATGTGATTTAATGTCCTTTAACCGTGCGTTTAGTTCGAGCATCAGTTCCAACATTAAGATTTTTTTACGAAGTTTTATACCTGTGCAAAAAGTTTCGCTGAATTCGACGTATTCGGAAGGAGTTATTTCACCACTGCTCGTCTCGCATCTGTTTGCGTAAAGTATCCGGTATTCACATCCTGTCTGAACATAGTAAATGATGGGGGGATACCCCTCATAGTGCACTAGCGTTCTGTTGCCAGTGCAGAATGTTGGGACCAAAGTGATCTCGTAGTTGTTGGCAGAGTCAGGCAACTCGAAATTCGTTCCATCAATTATTGACAATGAGTACCAGTCAACGTCATCAGTAGGTGTAGTAGGAACTACAAATAGAACCATGAATTAAAAATGTAGATTGCATGTTTTCTAGTTTCATATAATTCACAACTGTAGATCGGGTGTTTTTTGTTCAGATAATTTCGAACCTTGCTCATTATTTACTTTCCATGATTAATTTTTAAATCTCCAATTTTGCCAGTCCTTAATTGCGTTTCTTTTACTTGCCGTATTTCCTTTGCACAGATTTCTGTTTCAGTACCGAGTATCGAAACAGTACCCAAGTTTGTACAATTACCTGTGCACGATTCCAAACTGACTTCAGCCGAATCCATTTGATTCGCGCCGTTCAATGTGTAGACAATTGAAGACACTGAAAATCGGTAAGACTCGCCGATGCCGAGGAAATCGAAGGGCAGGTTTGCGTTGCTTCCGGAGATTAATACATTTGGGCTGTTTGGACATGCAGTTCCATCGCTTTCTTTCGCACACTCGATACTGTCAATGGACTGAATGGTAGCTGAAGAGTTTAACATGGTAAGTTGGATCTCGATCTCCGACTGGCTTTTTGAAACGACCTCGAGACTGAAGTCTAAAAAGTACATAAAAGCAGAATATTAGCACTAATTTAGTAAAAGGAGGACCCTTTGGGTCGGGAGGGGGTCAAATCACTAAAAAGAAAGGGGCTTCCGTCGTTCCATTCCCCTTAATCTGCTCTTGTGGAGAGATGTTTCATAACAAGCTATCATGAGACGATTTCAGTGATTTGAAGCTTAGCAGCTGCCGCCAATGATTCTAGTGTTTTTTGAAGACAGTTTTTCTTGACAAGATTGAAAATTAGCCAACCCATTGCCAGCCGCGTTTTTTTGGAATTTCCAAAGAGAAGAACAATTTTTAAAAAATTAATCGAACATGCTGACCGCTTTGTTAAAAAGCTAAATAAAATGGCTTTCTGATACCTCAATAATTACTTGAAAACATCATTTCGCTGAAGAAGAAACTGTAGTGAGAAAAAGCTTTAAAAGGGTTTGAAATTCTGTTGAAATAATTCCAGGGGGTTCATTTGAGTGATGAACCATTTCCCTCACGGATTAAAGATTTTTTAAAGATTAGAGTTTTAGAAGGGTAGATATAACCCAAATCACCCATCCCCCCATCCTATCCACTCTCCCCTCCCCCTAGTAATTCCAAAAATTTTGTTTTTTTTTCAAATCATTGTGCCAAGCAATGATTTTAACTAGTTCTAGCTTTTTTAGTTTTTTTTTTCAAAGTCGACAAATGTGCTCTTAAGTTGAGCGGAATCAGGTATTTCTTCAAATAACCCACGACAATCAAATTTTTAAGCTGTGGTGTATCAAAAAATCTGATTTGTCTTCTTAATTTAAAAATAATTTGAGCCGAAAAAGCAATATACAGATAATGATTTTTCCAAGTCTACATTTGACGACTTTGATTTCAATTACCCTGGTGTGCATTTGAATGGTAAACAATAAACATACCTTGTGCTTGAGATTTGCTCAATATTAAAACCACCAACAGCATCCCAGAAAAACAACTACCACTTGTAGATGCCATTTTTTGCGTCTATTTTGAATGAAGAGACTTTATGCTTATAAAAATATAAAACTTTCAGACAGAAGCAGTTAACGACAAAACATCAGTTTTCAGATGTAATTTGAGCTAAATTTTTATGATTAAAAAAACAGGCTATTAAACAAGTAAATATATGACGCGTTTGTTCATCAGAAAAGTAAAAGTGTTGAAGGTATTGCCACAGAAATCTGTATATAGAAGTAGATTACGGACTTTTTAATGCTAAAATTAGCAAAAATCATTAGTAAAATGAAGGTATAAAAGCATTTGTAGTGCTGCAATTTATTATAGCTGGACTAAATCGAGCACCATAAACCATAAACTCTATGTTAAATTATATGAAAAATGACAACAATCTTGGTTTGAACGTTGGTAAAAAAACAGCAAATACAGTCACATGTTTAGTTAGAGCAAACAGTTTATTTCTAGTTTCCAATCTTATTCTGTCTCTCACGGCTGTTTTTCATTTCTGGCATTCTTAGAAAACATCTATATCGTTGCAAGCTCATATTAGAAAAAAAATACATGTAAAATGAAGAACTAAAACTTGACACGCTCAATGTTTATCCGCGTAGCCAATTTTTTCGTTTTAAGGAAAACACACTTCACTAGAACATGGAATAAACCACGAGTTGTTTTCTTTGTTTTTGCTGCAATATTCTGAAAAGTGGCAGGAAGACACCAAAAACTAGAGTTAGATGGTATTGAAGAAAACGATACAGAAAACAAGAAAAGCTTTGTGGTAGTAGTATATTTTAAATGCATGCTTGAAACCAGGGGCGGATCTAGGATTTGCTTGAATCGACCTATTGATTTTCTAAGCTCTCCCAAATCAATGTAAAAGACCCTATTTTGACCAAATTTTCTGCTCCGAAGGCAAGTTCTTGAAAAAACAGTCCAAAAATGCGTTTGGGCACTTTTTGGAAAACGTCGACCAAAAAATCGCTATTTTTCGGCGCGCGCTCCCCCCTCAAAATTAATATATTTTGGCCACCAAGGCGCCTTTAGAAAAATTTTAGGGTCGGTCCACCAAAAATGGATTTCTTAAAAAGTACCAAAGGGGGGACCCTTTGGGTCGGCAGGGGGTCGAATCCCTGAGAGAGTGCCTCCGCCCCCTTGTCCCACCCCCAAATCCGCCCCTGTTCATATATATATTTTTTGGCGCGCGCTCCCCCTCAAAAGTAGTATATATTGGCGCCAAAGGCGCCCTCAGAAAAATTTTAGGGTCCGTCAGCCAAAAATGGTTATTTCAAAATAGTACAAAAAAGGGACCCTTTGGGTCGGCAGGGGGTCGAATCCCTGAAGGAGGGAAAGGCTTCGCTCCCCTCTAAATCTGCTACTGCTGGAAATTGTTGTTTTTAGATTTGAATTACTGGGCAAGTTGGAAAATGGCGGGTTGCCTTGGCGGCAGAAAAGCTCCAACAATAGATTCAACAGATCATTTCTCTGTAATAAATTGAGCTTTTTAATCTAAACAGTAAATCTCAAAATAGCCATTTTTCACCTTGTCGAGGTGCTTACTTTATGCTTTCGTCTCGCCAAACTCTTATGTGTGTCTTCTATCTCAAACAAAAAATGCGCTCGACTTTCTTCAACCCAGCTTAGATGTGCTTCTACCTTGCTCGATCAAGTATGAGTATATTTCGAGTTTCTCTCTGAATTTATTGAACAGAAAAAACTTTGTCTTTTAAATAGATACTAAAACATTTATCTTTTTAAAAAAAGGTTCATTCATCACTGGAGAGAAAAACAAAATTGTATTTTCTCTTAAAAAGGTACCATGTGCCGCGGGCGGATTTAGGGAAGGGGGCGGGGGTTGCCCCCTTTTCCCTCAGGGATTCGACTCCCTGCCGACCCAAAGGGTCCCCCTTTGTACTGTTTTGAGATATACCTTTTCGGTTGAAGGATCCTAAAAAACTTTTAACAGGTGCCTTCGGCGCCAATACATACTAATTTTGAGGTGGGAGCGCTTGCCGAGAAAACGCAATTTTTTGGTCAAAATTTTCCAAAAAGAGCCTAAAATAGCTTTTTTTCTCCTGTTTTTATTTCAAAATTGGGCCAGAGGGCCAAACACTAGCCAAACAAATTGGGCCAAACACTAGCCACAAATAAAGCAGAGAACAGTCAGGTCAATGTTGTCAGTTTGTCCCTTCAAACCATTGCATTCAGGTTTATGAGCGGGACAGTCTCTCTTTTTCAACGTTTTACTTTTGTCGAGGCTCTTAACAGATATAGAAGCGGTAAATTCCCATAGGTTCCAATATTCATAGCTCCCAAATTAATAAATCGGCGCTAATACATGCTAATTTTGAGGGGGGAGCGCGCGCCGAGAAAACGCAATTTTTTGGTCAAAATTTTCCAAAAAGAGCCTAAAATAGCCTTTTTTCTCCTGTTTTTATTTCAAAATTGGGCCAGAGGGGTCGACAAAAATTTTCGAAGTGTTTGCCCTGTGATCTTAGGAAGTGTTTGCCCTGTGATCTTAGTTTAAATGTCAAGCTTTGTACTCACATTTTTTTTAAAACTAAGAGTAATACTGTATCGTGTTTAGAATTATTTAAACTCAATTTTTGTTCCGACTTTCGAAGAAAACGGAATATTTATGATCGGTGCGGTTTTTTTGTGGATCAAGTTAACATCCTTCCCCCAGATAGACCAAGTTAAGATCTTCCACTCCAGCGTTTAATTCGCATTAATTTGCTAAGCGCTGCATGTAAAATGCTCGACTATGATTGGCTGAAAGTTTCTAACTTAGAACCAAGTTAACATCCTCCCCCTCCCAAACGGCTTGGGGGGATGTTAACTTGATTCGTTTTTTTATTCAGTCAAGTTTCACCGACGAAATAAAAATTTTCTACAAAAATTTTCTATACCCCATTGAAGATATCGACTTCCTGAGTTCAAATGTAAAAAGATTTTTCCCCTCCATTTTTTGGAAAATTCTGGGGGCTTGAAAATTCTTAAATTGGTATGTTCTGGACTAAATTAAGCGCGCTTTTTTATAAATGCTGAGAGCGTAACGCGAATTGTTTATGCGTGGCAAATTATCCCGAACTACAAAATCGTTCCGATTTGAATTGAGGCTAGCTAATTGGTCGCATTAATTTACAGTCTCTGGTAATGTCCAGAATGGATCGATTTTCAATATTTTTTCCCATTAACTATTTGTTATGACTTAAGGGACAGTCAGAACATTCGTGGCGTTGCCCTGATATACAAGCAGTCTTGTTTTGTGTTAAATTTCTGTATGCATTTTAACGAGAAATAAGGGTGTATTTTAACGCATTAAGATCAATATTGTATCGGTGCCATTTGCTGCTTTAGAAGTGCTCTGGTTAACAAAAATCTTGTAGAACTTCCATCAATTAGATGAGAGCCTCTTTCTGGGGCATTCAAAAAACGATAGTGATTCACCCTCAAAGTCGTATAAGACATAATAACACTACGCATATGTTTTAGTCAAATATCCGCCTGCAGCACAGAAGTTTTTTTGCAAAAAAGCCTTCATAAGATTTTAGATGAGCTCGGAAAATCATTTTAGCCGACCTTAAAAAAATCAAACAAGGTTTCGAAACGCCCTCAGGACTTTTCTGGCGCATATAGCTAATTTTAACCATGGATTTTATCCCAGGGCCAGGGAGTCTTTGCTATTCACTTGTTCACGCGACAAAATTTATGCCAATAATTTTGCTTCTCTAAATTGTTGAAAAACTTTTGTATAAATTCAGATTAGAAATTTATAATTTTTGAACATTTGGAAGCTCAGAAATAAGCAGGGCCGAAGTTATAACAAATTCGGCCGCGCCTATTAAGGACTTCCAAAACTTATTTACACAAAATTGAGAAAGTTTGGGAAAAAGATTACATGCATAAAGTTTTGTTAAATATGTTGAATAAAAATAGAATTCTCTGCATAAATTTTCAAATACTGCAAGTTTGTTTGACTAAGTTTGCAAAAATTATGTTTGCTATTGTGTTACTCCAAAAACTAGCTCCGTATTTATTTATGGTCATTTACGTATTTTGTTATATAGCCAGATCTGGAAAATTTTATGATTGTCTATGCTAAAACAATTTGTCAAACTTTTTTGAGTTTGGTGAGACTTTTAGCATGGTAGCTAGAATTGACGAGTAGACTACGGCTTTTTGAAACGCAGCTCTTCTTTTTGTGATCATCAGGTACACGGGTCCGATCACTGCCGATCGCAATCCCCCAGTTTATTCCGACGAGACTGCCGATCGCAATCTTCCACCAGAGCCTAGGATATTACCACGATGTTGTGCTGCACAAGTGCCCTGCCAGTGTGCACCACACAGCCCACAGTCAGAGTCAAACCCACCTGAGGTGAGCTTACCAACACAAAAGCACACAAAATGATCGTTGGCATCCCTAAATTTTCATTAGGAAGCATAAAATATTACCTTAACAAAGTTCACTTAAAGCATGAAACCTGTAAAAAGTGCTGCTAGACAATTTTGTCCGGTACTTTTTACGTGTTATTTGCCCTATTTCTTTTTGTAACATAAAACTTTCGTATAGAAGTTTCCAACAAAAGTTCACGCTCCTAAATTTTGTAAGGTTTTTTATTCGTTGCTAAAATATGGAAAAAACTTATTAAGGAAGCGCAGCTTTTGATTTCGGCTTGAAAAAAAGCATTACCTTTGTGTTTTGTTCAATATCACTTAAGAAAATTTCAAGTTACTACAAAAACTTTTCTGCTTGAGTTTGGTTTCAACCAAAAGATCACAGCCAGTTTTGAGAATTGAAATCAAGCAAAACCCAAAAAGTGCCATATGGCGTAGTCACAAATCAAATGAAAATTATTCCAAAAGTTGAACTCAAAATAACTTTTTTTTCTCTTTCAGTGAAAAATTTAGTGAATTTTTATATAACAAAGTAAGAAAAAATTAACCACTTAATGATTATCTACAACTATATTTTAACCCCTAATAGGCTTTGGTTGATGTTTTCCGTCGGAAAGACATTTTGGTAAACTCGTTCAAGATAAGTTTTAATTCAATAAAAATCTTAAGACGCTCAAAATTTGTATTGAATAAAAGAACTTGAATAGAGTTTAAGTACAGGAAGACTGCTCGTACCAGCTCAAAGTCCTGCTTTTTCTGTCTACATTTCTAAGTTCTTGAAAAAACAGTCCAAAAATGCGTTTGGGCACTTTTTGGAAAACGTCGACCAAAAAATCGCTATTTTTCGGCGCGCGCTCCCCCCTCAAAATTAGTATATTTTGGCCACTAAGGCGCCTTTAGAAAAATTTTAGGGTCGGTCCACCAAAAATGGATTTCTTAAAAAGTACCAAAGGGGGGACCCTTTGGGTCGGCAGGGGGTCGAATCCCTGAGAGAGTGCCTCCGCCCCCTTGTCCCACCCCCAAATCCGCCCCTGTTCATATATATATTTTTTGGCGCGCGCTCCCCCTCAAAAGTAGTATATATTGGCGCCAAAGGCGCCCTCAGAAAAATTTTAGGGTCCGTCAGCCAAAAATGGTTATTTC